CATGGTGGTGCTGGTGCTCTGAAGCTCATCGTCACCCCAGTTGTACAGAATGTCGCCAGTGGCGGAGTGGATGTCCATGAACCACCTGATCTTTGGGAATGAGTCGTAGATGCTGACGTGGTTCTTGGTCTCGGGCTCTGATGCAGCAGCTGAACCGTAAAAGGCCTCGGAGCTCGGCGAGGTGGAAGCAGGGGATGTGGAGGGGTCGAAGTACTTCTTGAAGTTCCAGAGGAAGTCAAAGTTGCGGTTGATATCTACACCGACGGAGGCACCGCTAGTGCCGGACCGCGTGTTGCGGTTCTTGCGCCATAGTGATCCTGAAGACTGGTCGTATGCAACACCGTCTGGGTTGACGAGTGGGAAGAAGACGATACCGGCGGCAAGGACGCTCTTGACTTGAGCATTGGTGTAGGATTTGCTACCGTACTTCAGACCGCTTCCAGCCTTGTTCGCGGCGAGGAGATCTGAGATCCAGTAAATGAGTTGATCAGGGCCTCCGCGTTCGCGTGCGTGCATTCCAGCGGAGAGATAGAGGCGGTACTTGGACTTGTCTGTGCCGGCGCCAACGTATCCGGCGGTTTGGGTAGCGCCATTGAAGGTCTTGTATGGCAGAGTGACGGTGCTGATACCGTATCCGTTGACGAGTCCCTTGATGGCAGAGTTGATCTCGGTGGGATTCATGATGCTGCTCATGGTCGATCCCGTAGCCTTGGTGCCAAGACCAGACGGTGTGACAGAACCGCCCGACCAACGGTCGCCAGTGCCGATCGGTGCGGTGGCAGCCCTCTTGCTGAGGTCACGACGGTGTAGGCTGATCTCTGCATGGTTCTCGTACTCTTTGGAAAGGTACGCGATTTGGTCCTCGGTCAGCAGAGCGTGGAGCTCGAAATGACCTTCTTTCGATGGCACCGCCTTGGGTCTGCAGCCGAGATCGTATGTGCCATTGTTGACAATGTCGAGAAAGTGTGCTGGAGAAGGCGCGTTGAAATGAACAGGTAAAAGGCTACCGAGTACGGTAGTGCTCTGGAGTATCAGAGCTGCGGCAAGAGCGTACTTCATCTTGAGTCTGCTTGGGGTGAAGAATATGGGGAACGTTAAAATGGAGGTGCCGGTGTTCTACGGTATGTCGTGAAACAACGTTGTTTTTATACATTCCTTCCATTTTGGTGTAACGATCGACCTTCTCCTAATGGTCGGCAGGTGATACTCTAGCATAAACGTGTCGGAGGTGCCATGGTGTCGCCTGCCGCTGATTGGCCGACTTCGCGAATTACGCCGGGCGCTAACTTGATCTCCTTCTGCTTTCGTCCTGTCTCCGCTGAAACTCCAGATGCACCTGCCCGGGAGGATCAAGTAGATCCAGAGATGCATGGGCAATGAGAGGACCTGCCTTGGGTGATGTGCAGCACTAGATAAGATAGATTAACTGGCCCTGAAAAGCAAGCCCTTTGGGGCAAAGTTTAAAGCTGGATGGCCGGACGCTATCGCGAAGCGGTGATTTCCATCTGGGCATTCCAGGGGAAGCAGGTGGCAGGACAAGACGGCTTCACCGAGGATGCGTCTGGCCATGGAAGTAACGCTGGGTGGTTATCCTGGGTTGCGACACACTGGGTGGCGTCGGTCAATGACGGGTGTGCACTCGCACAGCACAACAACGACGTATGGCGCCATCGTCGGAGTCCGAACACTGAATGCTGAGGAAGGTTGCAACTCACAAACATGCGACTTGCGGATGCTCAAGCCTCGGTGGTGGTAGGCGAAAGATGCGGGTACCCGCCGCCAAGAGGGCCACGTGCCTGAGCCTAAGCAAGGGCAAATTGTCCGGCCGCTAGGTACGTCACCGTCACGCCAAACAGCTCAACATGCTACATGCGACACACGACATGCGTGACAGACTCTCCCATCTGCAGATATCGGTCGATTGATGAAGAACGCTGTACGACACGTCTGTGGCCCTGGTATGCTTTTTCCGCGTGTTGGCAAAAAGCAGCTCCGCCGGGGACAATCACTCTTTCGCCACCCTATCATGCTTCAAGAATTGAAGATTGCGCCATAAGCCGGAAACCCCCTCCTCTCCATGCCGAACATGATCTCGTGTGTGAATCGCGTGTTGCTGATGACCAGCACAGCTTCTGTGCGTTATCCCCACGCCACTCACGCGTGCATTTGTCACAGATCAGACCGCATCAGTCATGGGAGGAAGCGAAAGGCGGTGATCAAGCAACGATGCGACTTCAATACACACGCGACCAACGCGCGACTCGGGAGGATTAGCTGACGCGCACCAATTCAGCAATACCTAGGTAGCTAATTACATCCTTTCTAGGTACCGTTGGCCGGTTGATGATACTCCACGCCGTCGATCGTCGTGGTCAACGTTCCGTTTGCTTCGAGTATGTTCTTCATCACATCGATCCTCAAATGAAATCCGTCCGGGCCGGTCTTCTTGCTTCCAGTCGCAGATCCCGTCTGCAAGATATCAGAGTACCAATCAAGTTTCTGGTCCCACACATTCGGAGTCGAAACCGTCAGCTCGACGTCCTCCCAGCCGTTGATGACGTGCTCGCCGTCATTGCAGAAGTTGGTGTAGTTGGCAGCGACACGCTTGATGGAGTCTGCTTGCGGATGTGCCGTGTCTCCGATGAGCTTCACTTTCGCAAACCCAGAGATCTGGCCATGGAGTGTATAGTTTCCTGGCTTAAGTTTGGGTAGCGAGGGGGGTTTGGCTGCTGGTGGGAATGGTGTCGCCCACGATATGCGACCAGGCACATTATAAACTGGGACTGGATGCGCAGGCTTGCGATTGACCATGTGAGCGAGCATGACGCGGTACTCACGCCCACCTGGCGCAGTGGAGATTGGACACTGCAGCGGATTAGTGCCACCACATGCTGGCGATGTAACGATGGCCTGCCAGTACACAATGCGCGTGCTGTCCAAAGAGAAAGCCGGGTCCGCTCGGCCGTTCCAGTTCGGATCGTCAAAGCCTCCTTCGCTGCCATCGCCTTCTCCGTTGACCTGCTGCCCGTAGTAGGACTCACGATCCCCATAACGATCTATCAAGATTGGTTGGAAGAAGCGACGTGGGCCATTGTTGCGTGTAGATGCGGCTACAGCAACGGCAACGATGTCGATGAGAGGCGGAATACCTCGCATACCCGACATCCACATCTGGCGCTTGCTGGCACGCGTATCCTGAGTGACGAACCACTGGTCATCGGCAGAGAAGGCAATAGGATCGGCGTAATCGGGGTGGCTGGTCAGACGGCGAACAATCCCAGTCTCGATGTGAACCGCGTACAGATCGATGTTTGTCGACTCGGTCGGCGCGCCAATGTAGAGTATCTCGTCGCCGGAACCACTGAAACCTCTCAGTTCGCCAATCGTGATTGAGTCGGGGTGAAGCTTCAACTCCTCGCCCTCGGCCGTTATGAGAGCTCCGCGTTTTGGATCCACGAGCAAGTCGACATCGACCAGGTCATAGCGAGGCGCACCAGGGCCCGACCCTGAGGGTCTCGCATTGAACTCCAGACGCCCGAAGTAGGAATACTGCCCAGCGTCGTTGGTAAACGAACTCCAACCAATATGAACATCATCGGGGTGCACACGCAGCTCACGCGGACTGCCACCCGACCAGTTTATTGGATAGATGTGGATATTTTCAGGCGTGCATTCATCGCTAGCCAACTGCTCTCCGTTGCAGTCGAGGATGTTGTGGCCCCAGATTGCTTTGTCACCGCTTCTGAAGACATGGGGATAGTCTCTTTGTGGATCTAGTTCTCTTGCGTTCTCAGCCGGCACTCCACACGTCAAGCACTTCCACGCATCGCCATTGCTGAAGTTTGAGCCATCAGCTTTGGTGAGGATTAGCTGGACTTCATCGTAGATGCTCGCCGGGTCGGGAGCCGCGGGAGCTCCAACGAAGGTTACCGTGACGATGACGTTCCGGCCGTCCGGAGTGAAGTCGCCAGCTTGAAACTTCTCGGTGAGTCCTCTCGCGATGCACCCGGTCTGATTTGGACATGCGCCAGGGTCTTGGCTTGGAGAAACTGGAGGTAAAGGTAGTTCGACGATGTCAAACTTTTCGGGCTTCGGAGACTTCGGAATTTCTAGCGGGGTGTTGAGAACAGCTTGTTGATCGTCGTTACTGGCTAGCAGCTGGTGACTGCTTTGATACGGCAGGAGGGCGCTTGCGCCAAGAGCAGCTGCAGCTGTGTATAAGTGCAGCAATACCATTCTGTAAACATTAGTCTTGGCCATGGTAACGGCCTGGGTAAGTTGAATGCATCATGGTGGGCCATGCAGCAGGTGTTTTATAGCCCTGGAGATGATGCGGAGTGAAGCTTGCGGTAGCGCAGCTCAATACGCCGGATACGCGATACGCGTACTGTGAGCTTTGACCCCTGCCACCTTCCCGAGATCTTGTAGGCCGCGCGTGCCCAGGTGGCCTTCGATCGCAACACCGCGCCATGCAGCAACGGATCTGAAGAGGTGCTCGGGAGTCTACTTTTGTACAAAACAATAAGTTCTAGGTTGTTTCAAGGCGATGTAGCTCTCCGGGTTATCCGCGGAGAGCTGCGCAGAACGATGAAGCTACCGTATCTGCAGCTTGAGTAGAGGAAACTTGAGGGGAAGAAGGTCGAGAAGGTAAAGCTGGGTATGGATTCTCGGTAGTCTTGGAGCTCTCGCAACGAGAAGTAGCACCACTGCATAGTCTGTGAGTGAGACCGGCGAGGACGAAGACGGGCACTTCACTGTAAAGAATCCATTTTGTTCTTCTCAAACCTTGTTGGATGATCGTTGACGAGGCGGCAAATTTTCTATCACCCCAAGACAAAGTAAAGGCAAGTCAGCTGTTGATGGCGTCACTGCTGCGACTACCTATGCCTGTCTGAAGCCTCATCTCCCCGCAAGTCTCTCACCTAACCACCTACACTATACACTCCTCAACATCTCTTCTATCCAAATTCTCCCAGAAACTGCCATACAAACTCTGGAAAATGGCCCAACTTCCCCTTCCTCAGCAGCTCATCATCCTCCAGAGGCTTATCGACGATTCAGGTATGCAGCTGGATACGGAGATCTTGACTGGACTGCCTGTCACTGTCGAAGCTCCTCCAAAGCGGTCGCTGAGACTCATCGCGAATAACGCTGGTAATCTTAGCGTAAGCGTTCAAGGTCTTACTTCTTTTACGATCTGCTGATTCTCTTCACTAGTTTAACGCCTGGCAAGATCATCGTCGCGAACACGCAGAGCTCTTCTTCACAAGCTTCACCAATCAACTTGTCAACTCCGGTCATCTGGAGCTCTACGACAGCCCGGCCCCAGCTACAGCTACAGCCTCAAACTCAATAGGTCGACCCCCAGCTCACGGACCTTCGGCTTCTCCGGTTCCAGCTCCTAGAGCTAGAACACCTCGACAAGACAGCGATGAGGAGGAAGAACGTATCAGGGTAGATGAGAGTATGAGCCGGGAGATATCGGAAACCGAGGGAGATCACCTATCAGAAGACGATGAAGAAGAGCAGTTGGAAGACGAGGAAGACGGGCGACAGGAAAACGAAGAGGATGATCTACACAAGCGATGGCCGACACCCGATTTTTTGAAAGGAGTTACGGTCACGGAGGCGGAGGAAAAGGAGGAAATGAGACAGTACCACATCATGTCCCGGAGATTGGGTGATTACTGAATGCAAGCATGTATTTCATCCTTGATGCAAACGATCGGTATTTGATTGTAGCTAATGGAAACTTGGCGATAGCTGGTATCCTTTCGTTGCACACTGGTCGTAGCTCAACTCAATAAGATGATTGTTCCTATGATGGAAACATGTTTCTTCTCGATGAGTATTTGCCTACAGCTGACGAAAATATGGCGATATCCAGCCTTCTTTTCTTGCAAAATGCTCGTAGCTTGAGCATTATTCGTAGCTCAACCAAATAGAAAAACGTTGACATCATGTCAACGTTCTTCTTTTCTCCTCCCGGCTCAACCCATATACATGCCCTCCTCCATGACTACCCGCTGCTGTTCCATAGCTGCATCCCGTTGACTAAGCTGGTAGTATGAGTATCGCGAGTTTGCCGGAGTGATCTCCAGCTTGCCTTCTGCCTCAAACTTGCGAAATAGCTGAACCACGCGTGACAGTGTCTGAGCACAGGCCAGGAATTCCATGTGCATGTCTTTCGGTTGGGCTACCCGCACAACCGCTATAGCGTGACCAACGATCTGTAGGCCTCGAATCACCACTGCGTTGTGGCATTTTCTGCCGTTGTTGCAGAAACTAGAGGGTTCATATTAGCCTGACCACCACATTTCGAACCAGGTTGACAAAAATTACCACTGGACGAAGCTCTCTACCATAATCCGTAGCTGTCGCAACTGTGGATGCAGGTTGCTTGCGGAAGCTAGACTAGGGATTTTGATCGCAATAGGAACTGGGCCGAGAGCTCCAAGCGCGATGATCGCATTGAGCTTTTGCATGCAAGAGGCGTAGTGTTCGTTGTAGAGCGCAGTACCTGCGCAATGAAAGCTCAGGATAGTATCAGCTTCCATGAACGGTGACGTCAGAAGACCGAGCTGATCAGCTTGACCAAGCGTGTCTGCATATTGGTCTGGCTGGGCAGCGCAGATCGCACTCATGGCTTTGAGACTTGGCAAGTCTGCCAGCTTGAAAATGACCGTCCGTGAAGCTTCCTCCTTGAGACCCAAAGCACCACGTCCTTTCCCCTTGGAATCCCAGTTGATAGCAAAGCTACTGACATCGTTGGGAGACGTGTATGGCCTGAGCCTCAAATCATCTTCCGTACCGGCTTTAGGCCGGAGTACTCTTGCTTCCAGGAATGCGACTAGGAAACTGTCCACTTCGCTGTCGCGCACAGTCTCCAAAGGAGACGCACGCCTTCGGTAGTGGTCCAAATAAGCTGCTGCGTAAGCTACCGTAGAGCTGTTTGCTTTCGAAGTAAGCTCTTGAAAGGATGACAGCTTAGCTGCCCAAAGCTCCTTAGTGTCGGTTCGTTGCTTCCAGGTAAGCTGAGACGTGTTCTGAGCTGCGCTGCCGCATTCTGGCAACAGCTTCTTCTTCCATGCGATAGCAGTGTCTCTCGTCGCATGGTTCAGCACGAACCATTCGATCTCCGTCTTGGTCAGCTTATACATCTCGTACAGCGTCAACACGTCCTATGATGGGAAGTAGTTAGCACAAGTTGGAAGATCTGTGTCTATTAATGATCTATTATGCTTACCCTGATATCCTTCCATCGGGATCGGGCCAGATCTTCGGCCTCAGCTGCACTTGCATTTGGAAACCAAACGATGTCCTGCTGGCGTAACAGCATTCCTGAGCGTGCCTGGTAGAGGGGTCTGTCATCTTTCGATATCGACATGTAGACAGGGTTCATGATGTCACCTTCCTCAGCTTCCTTCTTTTTGTCCCCGCGCTTCTTGGCAATGTAACCGACTTGGATGCCGATAAGCGCGGCGGTCCTGCGAAGCTTTTGCTCCAGCCACTGAACTGGTACCACAATGTCTTCTTTTTCTTGCTCTGCTTGGGCGGCGATCAGCTCTTGCCACATGGCGCGCAGGTCATGGCCCCGCAGTGTGGCGTTCATTGTTGTAGCTCTGGGACTATAGTCGAAATTTTTGGCGTCGTACATGGTCGCTATAGCTTCCCAAACATCTTCCAAACGCGCGATATGGTCGGCGAGTGCAGCGTAAAATCCACCGTCCCTGCCCGAGCTCTTCGACCATTCCTCCCAAAAGTCTTGCGCTTGCTGAATGGCGATCAAGTGTGCATCGACGGTGTCGTTGGCTACGCCAGATCCGTACTGCCAGTCTTCACCCTTGGCTGGGATAGCTGGGGGTCCAGGGCGCATCTTGACGTCCATATAGCAAGATCAGTTTCCAGCAATTCGGCGTAGAAGGTGCGTATGTGTAAGTTGGTGAGAGGCTGGCGAAGAGATTTTGGGAGCAGCAACAACAATGCCAAGACATGCAAACGGCAGTCACGTCGACTCACCCTCACCCTCACCCGTCGCGATCTTTCTTTTCCAGGCATACCTCTGCTGTCAGAAACACCTTGTGTTCTTCTTCGCATTGCTAAGATACTCGCGCCTGGCAGCGATAATTAAATGCTATCCCTCTCAGTCCCTTCACCTCGACCGACTAGCATAGGAAGCTACAAAACGTCAGATGATGTCATTTCGTGTCTCATGTCTAAAACTTTCGGCATTTCGCCAGAGTAAAATCGTCGATGCAAGAAACTAAGATGCGTACGACCGTCGGTGTAGGTTGGGATGCCATACCTCGGTAGAGTGTTGATGGAGTAGGCGATAGCTGGAGCTGAAGAGTCCGCCTCTATGACCACAAATTCTACGAGCATCAACCCATAGAGTAGAATATATAAGCCAACTCCAGTGCTAGCAAGGATAGCAAGCTCCCTTTCAAGGGCCTTCGGCCTCTGGATTTAACTTGGACATGGAGTCACGCTTCAACAACATCAAGTGTTGGTGTACCCCATAAGTCGCCTTCTTACCGTGAGCTACGGAGTCGCTGTATATCAGTTACTGATACGGTAAGCGTCTTTGCTTTGACTTCATGGTATGCGCGAGTGGCCTTGGATGGTGGTGTTCGCCGTGACTCAGAGGAGCAACGAGGCGAGCCGCTGTTCCGGGCGGCGCTGCGCCCTTTTGCTGACTCCAACGTCGAAACAGTACCGTTAATGTTCGAGGCGCAGTTTTCGCGCACCAATCATAGCCCTCCGTCGAGAGCGCGTCTGAGCTCGTCTGAAACTGCGGTACCGTAAGCGGCTGGCTGCTCAGAAAGTAGGTCGTCATCGCAAGACCCGCAATATGATCGCGTCAATGGATTGCTACCCAACAAATTCTTAGAACAACGAGCGCATTTTGTGAGTCAGAAAAGCTGGTGATCCTCTGCACACATATAAAGGAACTCATCCCACCCAAAGTTGGATAACGAATCGGCCACCTGAACAACAGACCCTTATCAACACAAACAAAAATACTTCGCCTATCTGACAAAAGCAACAAACCAACCCAAGGGTCGCAATCAGCTACTGCGGTTATCAAATCCTTCTCTCAACACCACTCATCGACCCACACTCTACCGCGTCATCTCAATGTCTACCACCACCAACAAGGCCGAACAAGCCGTCTCTTACGCTGCCTTGATCCTCGCCGACGAAGCCATTGCCATCACCCCGGAAAAGCTGCAAGCACTCCTCAAAGCCGCCGGTATCGAGGACGTCGAGCCAATCTGGACCACGCTCTTCAGCAACGCTTTCAAGGACAAGGACGTCAAGGACATCATCCTCACCGCGACCACGGCCACACCAGCCGGTCGTGGTACTGCTTCCGATTCCCAGGACGATGGAAAAACAACTGGAGAGGATGAAAATGACGAGAAGGACGCAGAGGACGGTATCGATATCGATGCGGACTCGGATGATGGCTCTGCATTTGGGGATTTGTTCGGATAGGCAGCCAGCGGTGATGGGCGGGAGACTACGGAAGAAGGGAGAGGAGCAATATCGTCTTTCTGGATGGATTGAGAGGAGGGCGAGAGTTTTGAGATGCTACGTTAGTTGCGCAACAAACAAGAGGATCTTTCTCTCGCAAAATCTGCTACGTGCTTGATGTGACTGACTGATCCTGACGCGCGCAACGTGCGAGGACGTTCGGCTTGATCCGTATTCTTCAGACTGAGATGAATGCGACCTGCTGACACTCCGATGGCTTAACGCCGCAGCCTGCATACAAGCTTCGATCCTGGTCTCAAAGCACTACGACTGTAAGGGTGTAGAGTAATCATGTCGTGTCGAAGGATTTGCGAAAGTGGCATCGTACCTTGCCCATATAGCTGTGTGCTGTGGAGAGACTTGCTAAGCTTCGAGTTTGAGGGTCAAATTGCGCGCTTCTCTCTCGAAGTCGGCAACGCGGTCAGACCTACTGCTGATCATAGGTCGAGCTGATTCATGTTCCCCAATGCCAGGACACCGGAACGAGTAGTAAGCATTCAACATGAAAGCATTTGGCAACAACCAGGAACAATGTTCGGCATGTTGTAGGTAAGTGGCCTATGCGCATCGTACGTTGTTCGGAAGAGATGCGAGTAAGTTGCGTGTTTGAACATTCATCCTAGGCCTTGCTGCAGTGCGACGTGATGTATTCTAGAGTCCCCGAGCTAAGACCGACCGAATATTAAGCTTTTGATTGCGACAGCTCGCGACCCCTGCTCGATCTGCAGCCATCTGAATCGGAACCCACGCCCAAGGATTTGGTGAGAACTCTCACCCCGCAAGTAATTGCTGACAGTCAGCTCGGGTCCGTACGTTTGGGTCAAGAAACCTAGAGTTGACGGGCCGCTACATCGGCTGTAGAAGGAAGGGTTCTGTGATACAATTGCGCCATGATGAGTTTGCTGGCTTCCAGGGTGATGAGCAAAAGTGTTGTGGCGCGTCGAAGTAGTGCCGCCGGCCTGTGCATAAGATGTACACGCGATCGAGGAGCGCACTGTGAGGCGCTTCGGCGCATTCCGAGACAGCAGGCTGAAGTAACGTACGACGGGTAGGTGACATCCGTAGTATTTTGATATTAAACAAATCGCACTGGGTCCCTCCTCGACCGATCAACTTTGAGGTCAAATACGTCTGGTCGCTGATATCCACCAACTACATCATGGTATTGTTTGCCCTCGATGCAGTCGTCAAGATTCATGTCGGCATACAGTATGCCTTCTTGATCTTGTAATGCGGATACATGTTCTTTCTCCGCACCTTTAAAGGTGAAGCTAGGCAATGGCGCGCCGGTAGGATCCAGGAAGAAGGTCGCGGCGCGAGGCATGGCGTGTAGGGTCTCGGCTACCACATCCGCTTGACTTGCACCCTCGATGACCGTCTTGATAGCATCTTCACCAAGATGGCCTGAGCACGCCACACCGAAACATTTTGCTTCAAAGCAATGCGCTGCAGCACGGGTCTTGTTTGCGGCTAAGTTGTCGTAGTTTGTTCCACGCGCAGCGCTTGGACTCGACTGCTCATTGCTATCGTCGGTGGTTTGCTCGGCAGTTTGCGCTGTGTGACGCGAAGTTCTTGTCGGCCATATCGTCGGCCAAGTTGATATATGAATTTGCTCTGCTTGCGCGATCAAAGAGTACCTTGCAAGTGCATTAGTGTTTTCGCCACATATTAACGCGCCGATACGCCCGTATTGCGTGTCAGCCACGCGCAGCCCATAGCCGTCACCGCTACTCCATGTGAGCTTTTCGAAGAAAGTCGGGACCAGCTTTCGATGGTGAACTAGGACTTCGCCTTCGGTTCCAATGAAGATGTTCGAGTTGTACAGGCAGCCGTTGCTGTGTCGCGACCTTTCGCTGAAGCCGATGCTCACCAGGATGTTGTTCGACCGAGTCGCTTCGCGCAACGCCTCCATTTCATCGCCATCAGCATAGATAGATTCTTGTACCATACGCTGGAACAGCGAGTGATTTTCAGTGGGGGGCCGTAGCGAGCTCCAGATCGGAAACGCAGAGATGTAGGTTTCTGGAAAGACCACGAGGTTCGCCTTGTTAGATGCCGCTTGTCTGATGAAGGATAGGGCTTTATCTGTTGTTTTGCGTGCATTGAGGAAGACAGGTGATGCATGACAGGCCGCAACGCGTAAGCTGCTTGCCATGATGGACGGCTTTTTTGTTTGTGCTCGTGTCTGTGAGTGAAGAAAGAGCAGTGTTGATGATACCTAGGCATTCAACCCCGCGTCTGCGGCGTGATTTCCCCGCACCTCTTGGAACCACGCAACCAGTTCATGTTGTCCTCACGAGCTTCTGCAAGCTCAACAGTATTCAATAATTGAGCCTGCTGCATCACTGGAGTGTTCCATGATCTCTGGTCCTCTCTCGGTTCCCGAAGCGGCTGTCGCTACGCCAAGAGGAGGCATCGTTTCACGGACGGGTTTTACACAAAGCGTTGCCTTCGCGAAGCCCCCTAATTTCGCACACTCAGAAGAGACAGCTTCATCAGCCAAGCCATGGCTGGCTTCCTATTGAGAGGTATCGAACGCGATGCTTTGCAGGGAGCGAGCAGGGGAAGACGGAGATGCGACCTGGGCATAATCGGACTTGCCCGGTTCCCTAGCAGATGGTGCTGATACCCGCTCTTTCAGCTAGAGCTGTGGAGTAAATCGATACACAGCGTTGACCTGGAATGTTCGCGGTCGGTGGATAGAGACCAGATGTGAGCAGGAACCCGTGGCCCGGTGGACGAGAGCCTTGGCCGTTACGCGCTAACCCACTAGCGTATTCAGACTGTAAATTATCTGGGCCACTGTTCACTCCTTCATCGTTCCTCAGTATCATGTATAATCCACATACGTTTGTTCGCGCGAGAAAAAAGGTCTTTCAGTAGGCGGTCAAGGGGACGTGTGACTGTGCCGACATTGAAAGACCTGCATTACAGCCCACTGAAGTACAGGCGTAGCTTCGGAGCGGCGATCCGATGCGGTAGCACCGTAGGTACAACATCAATCGCAGGAAGGAGCTAATTTCCTGAGATAACGAGCATTTTTCAGGAAGTCCGGTATGCACATGGCTCGATGCAGCATGTGTGTACGATCGATGTTGTGACCTCGGGACAAGGACAGCAATTAGCCGCCTTGCCACAACGCCCGACCAGAGCACACATGACACATGATCTGGATCATCGTTACGTTGCCGTATTGATGAATCATCTCATTTTGATCTCAATATGTTCCATTCAAAGTTCGTCAAGAAGCAAGAAGTTGTCGTAATCCTGATGGGGGGATAACGACGTTGGCTGCATCATTTATTCATCATTAATCGACCAGAGCATAGCCCGTCGTTATATCGACATCGGTGACCGATGTAAGGCTTAGAAAAGCAGCGGAATCAAGGCGCTGCTTGCTTTGTCACCAAGCTGAAAAGTTGGAAGGCGTTTCAGCCTAGCTCGTGGGATAAGTGACGTTCCAGGTCCGGCAATGTGCCGAGCAACCTGGGAATCCCACGGCAGTGACCGAAGCCACCTTCCACGTTTCGAGCTGGTTCCGGTACCTCAATTTCAGGAACTGTGCAGCCATTATCAATCTACTGACCAATCAAGCTACCGCGACGGCACCGATTGATGCGGAATTCCGCAGTGGGTCACCCGCGTGCCTGGACTGACAATCCTGACATGAACCACATCGGTCCGATGCAGCTTCGGTGCCCTGTGCGTCCAATTCATGCTAAACAACAACCCAGTCGCGACCGCCTCTGGAGCGCTTGGCGACACAGCGGGACGTAGTGGTGCTCCACTTTAGACGTTTTGACAGGATTGTTTATCAGATGAAGGGACTTCACGGCCCTTCTCCGATCACGCAAATGGTTTCGAAACCCAAGTTGGCAAGTAGCGCCATGGAAGTCCAGTTTGGCACAGATGGTGTGCAGGCAAGGGTTAGATGGCATGCAAGATCTTGTGCCCAGAGTGACTTGCATGCCGAGTAGGCACAGCTCTGCCCGTCCCATGTCTCCCAGGCTTGACTGAGGAGGTATAAGAGTCTTGGGATCTTCCACTCAACCCATCTTTCACCCAACGTCGATCTTTCCTGCTCTTAGATACCCCAACAGTACTCGCTCAAGATGCGTTACTCACTCCTTGCTTTCGCTACTTGCGCTCTGGCAGCACGCCCTTTCCTCAACGAACCCGATACTGGTATCGACGACCAGTTGGCTGGATTCGTCGCTAATGACACCCTACCTCCTCTTAAGTCTTTGGTCGGCCTGCCAGACTTCCAATGGGTCGGCCGCCAGCACATGAACACATCCGCCTATACATACTACCGCAACGGAGCGGCTGGCGAATGGTCATACCGCAACAACCTCGAAGTCTTCTCGCGCTACCGATTGAGGCCCCGCGTCCTCCGCGACATCACCAACATCCAGGCTTCTATGCCCACAACTATCCTCGGCCACAACTTCTCAGCGCCCTTCTTCATCTCCCCATGTGCACGCGGTGGATATGCCAACGAGGACGGTGAGCTTGGCCTCGTTAAGGGTGCCGGCGAAGGCGACATCCTCTACATGACCTCGCTCTACTCGTCCAAGAGCTTGGAAGACATCTACGCTGCTCGCCCCAACGGCTCAGAGCAAGTCTTGTTCCAACAAGTATACCTTGACGGTGACATGAACGACACCCAGGTCCTCTTCAAGAGGATCGAGGATCTCGGTGCGAAGGCCATTGTCCTGACTGTCGACTCGCCCGGTGATGGTGTCAGGCACCGTGCTGCCCGCTACGGTGTCGGTTCCGCCGACGTCAACCTGAGTCTTCTGACTTGGGATCTGTACCAACAGCTGTCCAACATGACCTCCCTGCCTATCATCCCCAAGGGTATCCAGACCGTCGAAGACGCTCGCGAGGCCGTCAAGCAGGGTGTAAAGGCCATCTTCCTCTCCAACCACGGCGGCCGTCAAACTGACACTTCGCCATCATCCCTCGAAGTCGCCCTGGAAATCTACAACGAGGACCCCGAAATCTTCCAACAAATCGAGGTTTACGCTGATGGAGGTATCCGCTACGGAACTGATGTTCTCAAGCTCCTCTCTCTCGGTGTAAAGGCTGTCGGTCTTGGAAGGCCCTTCATGTACGCCAACATTTACGGCGCTGAGGGTGTCGCAAGGGCAACAGAGATGCTCAAGTACGAGCTCATCAACGATGCGGCGAACATTGGTGTTACCGACCTCAAGAAGATCGGCCCAGAGTTTGTTAACTGGAAGTCTCCTGCTGTAAGCTTCAGCGTATAGACGGTGACGTCACCAGTTCTTGCTGCGCATGAGCTCGAAATTCCCTTCTCTTCAACTAGATGTATATACTTTTAGCGAACAATTTATCGACTTTCTTCAACCTTGAATTGCTGTTACGTTCTGCACAATCTATGATCGCGACTACACAGGCTACAAAAACCTATAGACGAAAAGGCTTACCGTTGTCGCGGAGGCTGGAAGGTGTAACAAAGTAAGCATAGTTTGTTCGGCGGTATCGTCAGTATTGTCACAACAACTCGACACGTTTGAAGCGTCGAGGAGGCTACTTTCTACGCGTTCACGCGTTCAAAAAGCAAGCCCGTAGCCTTCCAGGGTCAAACACGCTAGTGTCTTAGCGTGTTGCGCGCCTTCCCGAGGCCCAGTCTCATGACTCTTGCTTCCATCCCAACCCCCGACATCAGTCGCCCGCAACCATCGAGTAGAGAGCGTCAGATGCTGTCCGATAAGCATTCGTGGTCTGCTCAGCAACAAAATGCGCAAAGTATCAGTGACGCCGCCATAGCCCGTTCACTATTCGCAGGCCCATTCGGTACCTTATCGCACGCCTTATCGGCCACGTGTAGGGCGCATCCCAAGCAGTTCCCATGAAAATGCGCTGCACCTCTCGCCCTCCAAACGCGATGACACACTCAACCGGACATCGGTTAGGTAATGAAGACACTCGCGCTAGACATTGAAAGGCAGGTGTACGCCGGACGCGACAGCGTCCTACACTAACAATATTTCCTCGCGCTTCATCTACGGCTTCCATAATTGTGCCTCAACCTTAACGCGGTTCCCTCTCAAACTCTAGCAAGAACGAAGCTATTGGCATAGTATCTCGGATCTTCGCCGCTCACGTCCCAGTCGACTTAAACAGAAATAGCGGACTCGGCCAAGCCATGGTACATGCCACGGACACGGATGCGAAGCCACAAGATGCGACAAAACCCTCGACGCAGAGCGCTACTATCGGGAACGGAGCGAACACCTTGTCTGGGAATGACGTAGTCATCAGCTACCGAGGTGGCATCATCGAGAACAGACACAACGTACACGCAGCCATTGTTGATGCCTCTGGCAAACTACTCTACACAATTGGCGACTACCAGAGGATGACCCTTGCGCGATCATCAACGAAGCCAATTCAGACCCTTGCGATCTTGGAGACAGGAGCTGCGGCGAGATTCGATTACGATGACGCAGATGTAGCGCTCATGTGTGCTTCGCATAGTAGTGAACCTCGACACATCGAACGAGCACAAGCGATGCTGGAGAAGACAGGAGAGAAAGAGGGGATCCTTACATGTGGTGGACACCCCGCTCAGAACGCTGCTGTCAATCGCGCGTGGATCAAAGGAGATTTTACACCGACTGCTATCTACAACAATTGCTCTGGAAAACATGTCGGTATGGTAGCAGGTGCGGTGTGCCTGGGTGCTACGGCTCACGACTACTATCTACATGAGCATGCCATGCAGCAGCGCGTGTACCGAGCTGTTGAGGACATAAGCGGGCTTACTAAGAAAGAGGTGCTATGGACTGTCGACGGATGCAATCTTCCAACACCAGCGATGCCTCTTCCGAACCTCGCGCTCATGTTTGCCAGGCTTGCGGATGCCGCTGACCTTTCTGATGGTCCCTCGAAAGAGACCCTGGATCAGAGAACACAACATCTAGCTCGGATTCACAAGTGCATAGCCAGCTACCCTGGACTGGTCGCTGGCGAAGGTCGCTTCGACACAGCGCTCATGACGCCTTATAACGGACAAGTCGTTGGCAAGATCGGAGCAGATGCCTGTTATGCAGTAGCAATTCGTGCTTCACCCCACGCTGATCTGACTGGGATGAATCACGGCGCTATGGGAATTGCCGTCAAGGTTGGAGATGGCAACCTCGATGTTTTGTATGCTGCCGTCATCGAGATACTGGAACAACTGAACATTGGTTCAAGCGAAGTGAGGCAGTCGTTGGACGGTTGGCGATATCCAAAGATTGTCAATACTGCAGGTGTTGTCACGGGCGGCTACGAGCATTGCTTCAAAGTACGAAGTGTGGTGTAGTGACAATCTTACAGAACAGTATCGACGCATATATTACCAATCCTCTATAGCCCTCTGAACCGAGCTGCCGCAACATACCACCAATACAAACCGAAACGGTGTGTTGACTAACTTCGTAGATATCAAGAGTTGGACGGCCTAGAAAGGAAGCATCCCATCAGACCCGCCGTGAAAGGTATCAGAACTTTCAGAAGATCATCTAACCTCATACCCAAAGGAGCAAAGCTAGCCATCTTCAAGAGTATGGAACCCACCTCTCTGCAAAACACGAAGATCGTCATACCATCCCTCACCCATGTACGAACATCTCGGCACATCTCCAAGTACAGTCTTTGCCCTTTCCTTTTCTCCAGTGGAAGGGTTTCGAAGCCGGCTAATATGCTGGGTCCATCGCCCGAAAGTCCGGTTTTCTTGCGGAACTCGACGAGTGTTTTCATGCATGCTAACCATCTGTCCAGAGCCACTTTACACTTTTCGTACTCATTGTCCAGCGCATTTTTTAGCTCCTCGGAATATTGCACAGCTATAATTTTGATGCGCTCCATAGTGTTCTGCGTGTGTGCGATCTCATGACGTCCAGCGTTCTGTGATTCGAGAAGAACAAGTAGCTGGATTCCCAGCTCTCCGCGATCAAGAAGCGGCTGGTTTGCCATCGAGCCTAGACTTTGAACAGCATTCTCATTCCTGACTTGATCGTCGACTATCGCTGGCGTTACAGGACGGAGGGTTGTGCGAGGTTGATTCGTACGGCGTGAGCTCGATGCTGGTTGTGTTATCGTTGGCGCCTTCTTCGCGTTGCTTCGTACAGTCCGTGCGGCTGCGTTCTTCATCCCTACCAGCTCGCTTCGCTGCGGCTTCCTCTTGACCGTTCTTGTGGTTTTGGCACTCCAGGGCTTCCTTGGAGATGCCACAACAGCTACACGTTGGGTAGTGGATCGTTCTGGAGTTCGAACTGGATTCTGAGATGCTCCTGATGATTGCAGCTGACGTCGGGAAACAGTATTGACTTTCTCTGCGTGTTTGGTTTTCCTTGAAGCGCCAGCCTCGTAATCAGGGCTCAATTCATCAATATCATCACTGGATGATAACGTAGGGCTGCGAAGAAGCTCATCGCGATTCACGCGGACTGCTGCCACGAAGCTTGAAGGTCTCGTTGACGCTTTCACGCGTGCTTTGTAAGCTTTGTTCTTTCCACCGGCTTCGACTTTTCGACAGGCGCGCTGGACGATCCACGCAGAGACTTGCAATCGTATTCTATGTCGAGTGAACTTAGTACCTCGCGCTTGAAAACATTTTTGTTGGCGGACTGACTTACTTGCGTTGATCACTTCGATTTTCGTAGATCAGATGCCTTGGATACGTGCTCTCTGCAATCTTGGTACGAGTCTTGACTTTCGAAGACTTCTGGACTCTGAAGGTATCGTTGACTTCGAACTTCTTGCTGACTCTGCTAGGGGTATCGACACGTGTGACGAAAGGTCCTTTAACACCATTGTTCCAGACATGATGGCCGAATTGTTCTAGGCAATCTCTTGAGATTTCTTCCAGACAGATGCGTCGATCTCGAAGAGCATCGCGTATGGCGTTTCTTGTCTTGTATCGCGTCGCAATAGACTCGACAATGGGCTTCGTCGAATCCCAGAAGCGTTGAACATCAGGTACTGACTTGAAGTCTGGTATGCCGGACTTGCCAGGATCCTTGGCTAAATTGATGAGCCCAAGACGTGACAGATATACAACAGCGTGTATTCCCCCCTTGGTGCATTCCTCGATCAAGCTCAGGGAATCATCATCTGGTGGCATAACCCCAGGATCAGTGAGTTCTGTTACTGTTAATTAGTCAATGTCTTCCTTCTCAGAATGCATATAGGGGATATTGTGCGCACCTTCGAAGTAGAATCGAAGTCGTAGAGACTACAGGGCGTTGATAGCGTCTGAAAGTGATTGCTTCGATGTGATGAACACAGTAAGCGCAATACAGAGGCTACCGAAGAAGGACGAGGTTATTCTGCAGTGCCGTGCTGCGAGACTCCCCATGTGGTATGCAGAGAGGGCATCCTAATGCTTTACTTATAACAACACAGCAACATCTACATACCAGAGTATGTTTTGTGCCCAGAAAGATGATGATTTCGGCAGCCAAGCGCAGGACTATTTCGCCGAATCGCCGGAAGGATTCATACCTGGAGAAGAATCTACTCCTCGCATACTATGACTCATTTACCTGGTGGTTTCCCGGAATCGGGTACGCTATGCCAGAACAGCTACTGTGGTTCTACCAGTAGAGAAGCTTGGACGACACTCGCAGCTCCTATTCTGAGGATGCAATTTCGGGGAACGTCGCCTCGTGCCAGATTGCTTCCATGATCGGCGACGAAGGACCTTCATAGCTCTACACAAAGTCAGCCCATTGGCTGAAATGATGTTGAGATGATGTTGAGCTGCAAGACGTCCAAGTACGTTAGGCAACAGGCCAAGATCTGGTCTGAGAGCGTCCCTTGCGGATTTCGAGCGGAGCGGAGATTACGTCCTACCCACTCCAGATTCCCTGCTGTTCTTCAACGGGAGGAGCGGTGCTCGTTCCCCAGCGAATCGTTGCTGATCACCCAGTGCCTTATCAGACGGGTGTAGCAAAACCGTTGCCGCAGGCCGTGCGTTCGGGATCTCATAGGCTGTAAGCCAGCCATACCTTGAAGGAAATCATACATCTTTCGTGGGAAATACGAGGAATGAAAGCTTGGCCACACTAATGTTTCAAAGATTGTGTCACAGCAAGAAACTGGCGCTCTCGATGAGTCCGTCTGGTCTCGGGAATAAAGAACTGCCTAGGCTGGCGTTGCCGATGACCCTCCGCAGCGTAGGCAATGGTGCTGACAAGACCAAACCCCTGGGAATAGAAAAGTAAAGGAAGATAGACGCCGTGATTCAAAGGGTGGCTGCAATAGTTCTCATGCGCAGACTGATGGTTTGTGGCTTGTCGAGCCGAGACTGCATGGCACGTGAGTCCGAATCGCACACGTTAGCGAGTGATTGGCAATAAGAGAAAGTGCTGAGTACCGTTATCGGTGAAGCTTTGGGGATTTTGCGTCGCTTCTACCTGGGAGCGTGCATGCACTGCATATTGTCTAGTGGCTGATACACAAACACTGACGCTAACTCGATTCAGCTGTAGAGGCAACCGCGCCGCATTGCTGCCAGCATCTTTATCCTGCCGGTGAAGGACCTGGCAATAACTAGCGACCCCTTACGCCCCTTTCTTGCGGCGGAACGCACCGCGCACGTTCCTATTCAATTTCCTGGGTCGGAGGCGCACACCACAGGGGCCGGGAAGAAACAAGGAGTCCAGGAGCCGGACCCCCTAGTCTATGGCGTCGCCTTAGCCGACGTTCCGACAATTGTAGGTCCGAGGCAGGGGTCATATGTTCCGATCCCTAGTGAAGATCGGCCCGGAGGACATTTCGGACGTCTGTCAAAATGCAGCGTTGACTTGATCGAGTAGAAAGAGTAGGTTAAAAACGTACAATTACTTCCATAACGCCATGTACTGATTTCCTTCCAACGAAAAAAACAGATCAACAAACTCCTGACCCTTGTGTAACCTACAATAACAGAGATGGAACATGCGCGAAAGCCCTAATTGAACCCTACACCCAGAAAAGTCAACATGCTGACCTATTCAGTCCCCGGAGACTGATCTCGCGATGCGTTCTTTGTATAAACAGCAGAACGCATGCCATATAGAAGAGTTCGGTTTCTTGGTAAGGACGATCCCGTATTCTCACGCATGCACGCTGAAGGATCCAGCAAGACACGAGCGTTTTGATGCTGTGAGGAATACGTTAGCTAGTTCTCAGACCCATTGTTACAATACTGACTCGACGCGATCTTGATCGTCTTCGTACAAGAGGTAATCGGGGCGAACATAGTCCTGGTTCAGTTTGTCGATGTCGTTGGCGCATGTCTTGAAGGAACTATTGTGGTTCCATAACCAGGGACCATGCTCCTTCAGGAGCGGCTCTATGCTCGCATCGAGAAAGGTAGGCTGTGAACATATCGTCTCACATAAATCTCCCACGGAGAGATACGTGTCGACGATTTGATCCACAATCTCTTTAGTCGCTTTGTTGAGGTCGCTGGCTATGCCCTCGTATGTAGGGCGTCCTCGTTTGGTTGCGCCTTTGTTACCTACGGAGGGTTGTCGGAGACCCAAAGGCTCGGTGTAATGATGAACTCGGGCTGTTTTGAAGGTAGCTTCGAGTAGTCTTCCCAATGTTTCGGGTGCTTTGAGGGTCGCCATGTGAGAACCCGCATTGAGAGTCGGCATTTGGAGCCAAAACAGGTGGCGAATGATGAAACTGGAAGATTGTCAGTCAGGATATCAGACAGTGGACGCGTTGCTTTTAGCGCACGAAAGCGTCACATCTCCCAATAAAGCACCCACGAATTCGTAAAGATCGCTTACCTGTCGGAGTTTTGCGAGTCTGCACAAACAGAGAGGTGCTGGGTCGGAGATTTTAGGTACAAGCTGGATTATGCAACAAGAACTCAGCTTTGAGAGAGTAGATGATTTAAGTATGCAGACGAACCTTGAGCCTTCACTGTCCTCCACAGCAACTCTCAGCACGAACAGCGTGGCTCAGAGACATATGCCGTCCCGGGCTTGTCTCAGTGACCATTGTTGTTCGAGCGAGACCCGGCTCGCTGCCACTGGAATGTTCTGGCTTTCCACAAAGCTTGTGGCCACGCATTGTGAGTCAGACATGCCAGGTGGGCAGATGAGTTCTCGTTGGCGCCAAAAGGTCTCAGCCGAATCAGTGGGTCTCATTCGCCGACATCATTAATGACACATCGGCCGGGATTCCGGGATATCTTCTTCGCGAGGCCCTGCATGCAGTCCGGTTTCGTGTTGTGCTGTTTGGTGCAAGTCGGGTGGAGTGGAAGCCGCGAAGACGGCACCAGCCTGCAGCAATACTTAGCGCGAACGCGTGACGTTATCGAAGTTGCAAACAATGGTGTTGTGAAGTTGACTATAATTGGATTGCCGTTAATCAACTACCTCCTCCCTGCTAACTTTCAGCCAAAAGTGCCCAGTCGTCCTCCAAGACATCAATGAACGTCCGCCCATCTTGTCAACGCCCAGAACAGCAAACAAACAAAACCTTTTAGGACCGCTTTTGCGCCACCCACCTTATTCAGAGCTGTCTAGCTTGTCTGTGATCGCCAGCAGCTCATTCTGAATGTCCGCCCCTTGCTTGACTTTGACCTTCTTCGCCTCTGGTCCAGCGCTAATCCCAGCGGCCTCAGCGTTCCGATTAGTAGTGAAACCTGCATATACTGCAGCCATGTCACCGGGAATAGGTCTAGGTCGCTTCCGCATGGCTGCTGCTGGGATGTCGAAGTACGGTGAGCCCTGGACAGCCCTGTCGGTGATGCTCAGTGGCTTGATGTTACCGTCTATAGGACCAAGGACGTAGGGACTAGGCTTGAGCATAGCCGGCATGGTACCGCTGAGCGAAATTTGTGCTAGCCTCGATTCTCTTTGCTTGCGCATCCTCTGCTGCTCTCTTCACGCGCGAGTTAGGGGTATATTCTGGCGAGGCGGGGCGACCACAGAACTCATATTCGGCTGTCTTGTTGCGAAGAAGTGGACCCCTGGCGAATACCGTGGTAGAGTTTTCGAGATATGCTGGCCGGCCACGATTCGGCCTGCTGGCTTTGATGTTGCCCAGATTGTCAAAATCGTAGGGCCAGAATGTGCTGAGCTCCTTCGCGGTGTATTTTTGAGAGTTGTATACTGCGTAGCAGGCTTTGTCGTCGAGGTATACATACCTTGGGGGCTCCCTTCTGCCATAGATAATGGGACGTGGTACCTTCCCCATGTACATCTTCCAGGTTGGATGACCGCGGACTGTAGTCTTCGACCGCATAACGAAGGCCTTGTTGGAGTCGCCATTGCCATCGCCATGGTGCCAAAGGATTCGCATTCGTTTGCCGTCGGAGACCATTGTATTCTCCCGACCGGGGGTTGCTGCTGCAATGTATCCAGATTTGACCATGATGTATCCGTCTGAGTGGTATTTTACCTTACCTTCCAGAAAATTTGACGTATGCAGGCGGATACAGGGGTTTGCGGGAGCTGGGGATTGTAGGGCTGCTTATTTGATGCCTGGAATCATGAATGGAAAAGAAAGGGGAACTTACCACTGAAATGAATGAATGATGATGAAGGGAAGCTCGGTTAGAACTATATGGGGGAGGGAAGAGGAGTCGTGCAATGAGAGAGGAGTATTATATAGAACTTCAAGAGCTCTGCTACCAGCGAAGGCGGAAGCCAGTAACCACGTGGCAAGTGAGACGTACCTTGGAATCCACCATGATCCACTACCACGAGGTTTAGACAAGAGGAATGATGTGTGTTGATAAGATGCCGCGCTATATAATCAGGGTCTCCAGCAAGACAGCTCGTAGCTATCGGACATTCCACACAACAAACTAAATGTTCGATGACCTGCGATCAACGAGACTACCATTAGCTTGTCCTAAAGGCGTGTGCCGTCCTTCGTGGAGATGTCCCGCGACGTTTTAGATATGTACTTGTAATTGATGTCGAATACTTGACGAAATTGCGAGAATACGAATCCATTAATGCTCGACATGAATAGGATAAGAGGACGACACTGTACAGTGACAAGAGCTTTACTTGAAGAGCGTTGATCTATAGCAACATGGCTCAAATTCGCGGAAATCCATGGATTGTAGGAGCTCAGAGTCGTGTTGCGAGTGATTCTGGACGAAAGGAGTGT